TCGCGCCCCAGGTGTGGGGGAACGGGCGGCGGGGGGCACGACCCCGCGTGGAGCCGTGACTGTCACAGCTAGCTGAGCGGCTCCAGAACTCCCCTTTCAGAGAATCACCCCTTTTGCATATAAAGGTTCTCATTTCAGCTGGGCTGTTTGGCTCCAACAGAGAGACAGAGTGAATCCAGGGTCTGAGCGCATGTACTGTACCACCTGCACCTGCTCTCTGTAGCCCAGCAGGAGTCTATATGTCAGGCTACTGTGGAATTAACCCATGTCATGTGTCCTTGCTCTGCCTCCGTTAGGGAGTAATCAGAGCAAACATTTTTGTTTCTTCCTTTTTGGTTGTACTCAGTAAGGCGACTGACAGAGCCTTCCCAGTTCTTTCTGCATCTGATGCTCCTGCGTAGCGTCTCCTCCTCTGTAGCGAATACTGGCTGTGGCTGTACTCCTTGTGCCAAAGGCAAGACACCTGAAGCCACATAATGCACCCTTAATGGGCTTTGACAGAGCCAGCCTGCTCTGCACCAGTTAGAGAGGTGTCAGCTTGTTTCACATCAGCTGAATCCACTCTGGGTTCTGGCAGATCTTTACAGCCAGTCAGCTCCATCTCAGATCCTAACTTCTTTGATTGTCAAATGTATTCCGGATGGATGATGACTTCAGCCCACCCCTATGGTCTTGTATTTATAAAACTGGAAATCAGCTAGATATTTTTCTATTCTAACCCCCCAAACGTCTTTTGCATAATCCTATGTGCTGTCGGAGAGACGAGTGAGCAGAAACATTGTGCTTGTTTTTAGTTTTGAGATGGTATTTTCTTTTATTTTTGCTGAGAGGTCCCTCTCTTCTTGCTGTGTACGATGGCTAAAAGAAGCATGATATTGCTCATCCTGTGTCCTGTGTAGACAGCAGCTGCCGATGTAATAAATAAATAAGAATAACGGTTACAATATTAAATGAAAAAGGCACGCATTGTTAGTTGGTGGAGAGTTTGTATTGTGATTGTTATCAGGGCTGGTGAGCCATACAAAAGTGGCAAGATGTGGGATTAGCGGTGCTCCGGGCTGCGCCACACTCAGGGCATCCTGCAGGCAGCTGATAACACAGGCAGGAGAGCAGAGCGGCCGTGATGCATCTTTACCTCTGTTGAGCCTCAAAGAGAACCTGCTCTGCCTGTCTCTGATCAGGGATTTCGTGTAGCTCCAAGGAGAGGGCTGAAAACAAGGCTCAGAGTGAAACCGGGTGGACAAGAAGAATACAGTAATTATCAATAAACAGGGCTTTAAAATATCTGAGTGACAAAATCACCTTCTTTGGATTGCAGCTTTACAGTGCTAAATGTCACTCTGAACATTAAACTAGACAAGCCAACCCTTTTAACACACATATAGTACAGAGGTTCTGATGTATTTTACTGCACTCTATCAACTGCGCACATCCCATATAAGAATACTGATGTCTTCTCCTGCTCCAGAACTACACTCTTCTGTGCTGATTGCAATCCAGTCTAGCACACTACACACTGAACTGAGCAGCTCATCTGTCTTGGAATATATATAGCAGTGCTGATAACTATAGCTTCTCACTCAGATAAGCTCTAGTGACTGTGATGATAGGAGCTTTAGCCCATGATGTTTCCGGTCTCTGTGTTGTCACGCATTCCGATTATCACCTGTAAGTCATGTGCCTCATCAGCAAGGTGATCTGCTGTCTCTGTGTTATATTGACTTACTGCGGTGCCGTGCAAAAGTTTTATTCCTGTTTCACCAGCCTCTGTTTAATGTAGTGAAGCTGACAGGAAGTTTCCTGAGTGAACACCAAATAAAAAAAAAACCTTCTTATTCGGAATGTAGATAGTGTTCCATTTCCAATAAATTGACTTCCCTTCCTCGAACACGAATCAGAACATTTTCCATTCCAGTGTGCTCCTGGTAGGATTTTACATGGTTATGCGAGGCAGAACTGCGATGCAAAGACCCTCAGGGGTGGTTTTATTATTATTTTTTTTTTTTTATTTTTTAGCAGAATATAAAAAATCTCAGTACCATGGAATAGGCATTGTATTTTTCTCCTTTCTCGGCTCATTTGTTCCCAGAATTCTCTCCTGCTCTGCTGTTCTTGGGCACCTTAGGGGTCCTCCAGCTAAGGGCTGAAACTTTACAGATCCTTGTAGAACTTCCGCACGATCCCCAAAGACCAGCCACAGACCAAAGTTTGTGTTGTAGTAGAGACAGACCCTCACAATTGAGATGCATCTGTGTCTGCGTTAAGGGCAGAAATGGCTCTAGGTCATGACTTGAAAAGACCTGTAGCTCTTTAAATTAACATTTTAAATGTGGTGCATTATGAAAAAAAACTTAATTTGGTCGTCTCCTTCGCTCTTGCTCCCTCTTGTGCTGTCTCTTTCACACACAGACGTCTAAAGACCTCCAGCAAACATTCACTCTGATTAGAAGAAGAGTTAAAAATGTGACTATTAAACAATGGTCCAGAATAAAAGAAAACATTTTTAGCTGTGTTGCAGCCACTAAATCCAATGAAATTAACACGAGACTGAGCACAGATACTGCTGTCAAAATTCAAACTGATGGAAAGGCTTTGTATTCAATGCCTTGTGACTAGTGATGTGACATGAGCTTCATGAACACCCCAGTGTCTTGGCAAGGTGCACCATGAGATCCTTGGCAATCGTCAAGCCGGGGAATTTGCTGGAAGCTGATATTCCCTTCATTTTTCCTCTGCATAGATTTCGATGAATGAGTGGAGTTATTCATGACCTGTAGCATTCAGGTGCTGCTCTTTCACTCTTCCTGCCCTGAATCCACACCAGAGAGAAAAGCAAGGTCAGGTCTTCACGGCACTCCCCATAGAGTAACTCTGTAGAGGGTCTACACTCTACATACATTTTTAAAGCTTAGTCTATCTGGATGCACCTACACAGAGAGAAATGCTGCAACATTTTACAAAATATAAATAAATCTATTTTTTTACTTTTGTCGGAAGAACATTTAAAGGTCAGAGCTGACGGTGAGAGAAATCCGAGCAGACATGGTGAATTCTGCAAAGACAAGGAGATACCGTATGCGCAGTGGAGGTGTACAGAGGTGGCAGCCCGATAAGGTCATGAGAACTTCGGTCTCTGACAAGAGCGTGCGACATTCTACACAGCACATCAGAGAGAGGAGGTCTTAGCAATGAATAAGAACAGGTGCAGCTACAGAGAAACTTAAACTGAAAGCAGACAAGAAAGAAAGGGAAGGGATCCAGGAATGGATCTGTGTAAAGGCAGAGCAGAGCTGTGGAGATGAGTGGCTGCTCATCTCCATTTAGAGAAGTTGCCAGATCTGCCTGTAGCCTTGAATGGGGCTGCTGATCGGGCAGGTGATTAATGAGGTGCCGTGTGTGCTGGCTGCCACGGTCCCTCAGAATTTCTGAAGGGCTGGGGTTTTTGAAGAGGTTCCAGCCACCCCAACCACCTGGCCAAGGAAGGACAGTGATCATAGGGAATCATCTGGTGTTCACTCAGATAAAGGCAGGCTTGCATTCTGCAACATTTTGTTTTTGTTGTGGGTTTATGTACTTTTTTATTTAACTTGTTTTTTTTTACCTTTCCAAGACTTTGATTTGGGTGCTTTGCGGTAACCTGCTGTTTCGTTCTCATACTGGTCTTATCGCTTTCAATTAAGGTTTTTTCCCTGGCTGGCTGAAAGGGAGCTGAGCTGTAATGAGCCATGCGGGGATGGAGGATGGTTGTGCCAGTGAATTAATAATGTACTTAGAGACTGCAGTAGTCACTAGCAGGGTTACTAATGTCATGAGTTCCTTTTAGTGGGGCCTTGCACCAGAGCAAGATGGCCTCCTGATGAGAGCCACTATGCCTTTGCTCTTCCTTTCCCTACCTCCCAGACCTTAAAGCTTGGGATTCTGTCTCAGTCATCCATACGTCATGACTGGTGCCTCACCAATGTGGAGGATCGGGACGGAAGAAATCTTTCAAAAACAAAGTTTGATGCCACAAGTGGGATAGACCTTGTCTGAGTTCATATACATCCAAGGTCACATTTATTCCAGTGTCCTGTTGATTCACACTTTGTTCTTGGATCAATTTGAAGCTAGCAAACAATCAAGGTTGATGGACCAAATGTTCTCCTCTTATTTGGCAACTTCTGTATGTGTTTAAAACCTTGTTTTTTGGAGCCTGTGCCTTCTTTCCAGGTGACAACCATGCTTCAGTGCACAATTGGCTGAAGCCAAGTGAAGCTGAAGGCAAGCTTGCTTGGGGTTGGTAAGCCTGGTCTTTTTGAGCTGCCCAGGTGCTTGCAGGCTTGAGGTGATGTTAGGGAGGGAGCTCCCCTTCTGCAGTAAGACACTGAAGCCTCTGTAGACCACTGTGGAGCTTATAGTGCACGTAAATGAATGGCTCTATCAGTGGAGCCTGAGTCCTTTTCTCTGTGTGGGAACTGGGGAAAAGTAGGGGTGTAAACCCGGTATCCTGGCCAGATTTCCCATTGGCCTTTACCAATCATGGCCTCCTAATAATCCCCATCTATGAATTAGCTTCATCACTGAGTTCTCCTCTCTACTGTTAGTTGATGTGTGGTGAGCATACTGGTGCACTATGGCTGCTGTCGCATCATTCAGGTGGGGCTGCACATTGGTGGTGTTGGAGGGGTGTCCCCATTACCTGTAAAGCGCTTTGAGTGGAGTGCCCAGAAATGCGCTTTAGAAGTGTAAGCAATTATGAGTTCCACCATGACAAACTACAGAGCATAAAACGGAGTCTTAAACATATCTCGTCCTCCTAGCATCATGCAGGGCTTGGTGCAGGTGGTCCCATGGGAAGCTGCTCTGTTTACCCATGTGCAAAAAAGTCAGGAGACATACTCCATTTTTTAGGGGGAGAGGGGAGGATATTGGATCACCAGCCACAGCTCACTTCCCGTTAATTTGGCATCAACAGATTTTAGAGGGTGATGGTGTTGTTTTCTGTGTGGTTTTTTTTACAGAGGAGGATGTGGAGAACTTTGACGTTTCAGCTCTGCCCCTGGACACGCAGCGGAACATCGAGGCCGACAGCTTCTGGTGTATGAGCAAGCTGCTGGATGGCATCCAGGTACACACGGGCACAGCCAAGTGAACCAGCAGGCATGGGTGTCTACACGCTGTTCACAAATAATTATTGTTGAAAATAAGGTTCTGATTGGCACAATCTAGAAATGAATCTGTCTATCTGTCCTTATCTGCGTCTTTATATATAATCTGTTCAAATGAAGCATGAGGCATGTACAGCAGTAATCTGAACGCTTTAGTGGTTTCATTACAGGAACAACTACACGGTCTTCAGATCCATGCAGATTGATTAGTATTACTGATATTTATTACTCAATAACATTTTTATTTGAAGAATGGTATCAAATTGTATGCTTGTAGAGTGTAATTGCTTGTTGTTATTTATGCACTATTCCTCTCGGTGTTGCTTGTATTAAAAAAAACGCAAGTGAACCCTTTTCGCTTTAAAGTTCACACGCTTCGCACGTCACGTTGAAATGCTGGCTCACTCCAGGCTTCTTTTCTCATTAGCATACTTCGATCGAGCAGAATGCTATCTTTGGAAATCAAAAAGCTTTTTCTGCTATATTTGTAGTGCTTCATATATGCCTTCCAATTAAGCATCTATCATGTTTTTTTCATTTGATGACAGAAACATAATATTATGTGATTCTTACTTGTATATTCTTTTGATGTAATCTATAATATGTTATCTGTATATAATATGGATTTTGGCAACTTAAGTTGCTAACAAGCACATCATTTACAGAAATACTAATGAATATGGACTATATAGCACAGGCAGAAGTTCAGATGTGAGAACTTAGGAATATAAGTACTGTAAGAGGCATTTGTTTAGAAACAGAGTTGCAGGTGTCTGTAGCAAACTGCCTAACCATGTTTTTCAGCCTGAGATTTTCAGAGAACATGGTTGAAGTTCTGGGATCAATAAACAAAAAACATAACTGCATGCAAGGAAAATCGATTAAATGGCCTCTTACTGTTTTGTTGTATTCATGTTATTAAAATTAAAGTCTTATAGTTGAAGAGAGGCTAGATGGCCTGTCAGCTAGTTGTCATTGGCAGCTTCTGCAGAGGAATTCTGCAGCGTGAAATTCCCCCATCTCTGGAACTCGGGACCGAGTCTGCTTTTGCTTTCCTAGCTTGCACTCGGTGATTCCTATAGGAAACCTGGCAGAACCCTGCCGGGGTTCTGTTTTATAGGTCAGCTGCCACCTGAGGTTAGACAGCAGCAGTTTACCAAACGCGAAGGCTGCAAAGCACAAATAAAGCCCAAGAATGGAAGAAAACAAACAAGAGGAGCGAGGCGACAGTAATAGAACCCTTCCAGTCTTCAGTGCAAGCTGAAACTGCTGGGAAAAATGCGGATGTGTGTTTACAGGCCTGGTCTCTCTACCGGAAACTATGAAGAGATAGAGACTAGGGGCTGAGAGCAAGAGAGATGAGCAGAGAAGGTGGAAGTGTGGGAAGAGAGAAAAAGAGTATGGGGAGGAGGGAGGTGTCTGCTGGAAGCTCTTGGAATTTATTTCTTTTCCCATTCTATTTATTATCGTTTTATTTCCCTCTCCTGCCGGCTGGAGGGAGGCGGCTGCTCGTGTCGTATTGCAGAGCCTGACGAAGTGGCGCCCCTCTGGGATTTCCAATGAAAATAGGGGGTTTGTCTGAGCGATACAGACGCTCTCGACGTGAGGGTCATATTAAGCCCCCGTGGAGCCGGAGGAGCTATTAAACACGAGGCGGAAACATGCTTTATTTGTGTGATAGCCCAGACCGTCATTGTCTACATGGCATTATTAGTTTACATTGGGGAATTGTAATAGAATCAAAGCTTGTTGGAACTGCGGCGCGATCCAGAGAAGCCAGGGGAAATTAGAAGGATGTGCAGTGCTCGTGTTCATAAAACCAAATCTGTCCACATTACTTATCCTTTAAAAAGGACGATAAATTAATAAAGCCCCCTTTCTTTCTTGTGGAATTTTATTCATGCCATAAAAAATAACTGAGGGGAAAAAAAAAAGACAAAAAGCAACTGTCCATGTTCCAAGCGAGGAACAGATACCCAATGAACGGTTACCAATTAGTAAGAGGCTAATTGGCCTTTCTTGTTAATTTGGTCTTATCCATTCATTAAAAAATCTGCATCGACATCATGGATGGTCAGTGTCTTCCAGACACCAGCCACCCTCTGTGTACAGTAGCGATTCCTTTTTTTTTGCAGTCCTGGAGGTGCCTCTTCTGAGTTGGCTTTCTAAGTAGCTGTCAGGAAACTGACATTGATTAATGGTTAGATGTTAACTGTTACTGTTGAAGCTGTTGATTTGTGTCCCTAAAGGGGACATGGGCTCAGGCATGTACTGTATGTGTGTGTACTTATCATTTATATAACGGCGTGAGACGTCTCTCTAAATGGTTGTGCTTTCTAGTTCCAATTAGTATTCAGATTCACTTAATTGGTAGTGACCTCTTGCTCTTAAAAGAAAGGTGTTCCTTGTCAAATGCATTGGCATCTAGAGATATAACGGCAGAATTCATCTCATTTTCTGTTTGTCTCACTTTTATTTTTCACTGATCTGTATTTTTTTTTGCGCAGGATAACTACACCTTCGCTCAACCTGGAATCCAGATCAAAGTGAAGGCACTGGAGGAACTCGTGAGCAGAATTGACGGTGAGGCCCAGGGGCTGTGGTCAAGAACTGAGGCTTTCAGTATATGGGGGACGACACAGTATAGGAGGAGAGGGCAATTCTGCACTTGCACATGGGTCTCCTTGAAAACCCTTCATTCACTGGTACTGGCTTCTGCTATAGAGGTGATACAAGAGAAGCATTTCTGTACTGCTGATGCAAGATATTTCTTTTTTATTCTTCTGCATATTCCATACCCCTCTTGTTTAAAAGTTTATACTTTGAATATGTGAGGACTTACAGTATAATTGTTTGTAAGCAGTTAAGCAGTTCATTTGTGAAATCAAGTAATTTCAGGATAATTTACAACAAAATAATGTGGATACAAATCATCCTTCATCTGCTAGTTTTCTTACAGTTGAACAGATCTCTTGCTTAATTAACCAGGAACTCACAGGTTTTCCTAATCTAAAGCAACAGCAGCTTTCTGAAAGCCTACTGGCTGATCGTTGCTCTGAACCTTTCTTTGTCTTCCCCTCACTGTTCCTTACCAAGATCCTTCTTCTTTCCATATCTCTCTTCTCTCCTCTGTCTCCATCTCTCCTGAGTGTGGTCGAGTGTGGTGATCCACTGTTTCCCGATTTGAACTGTCAGTCCTGAACACAGGGGCTGACTTGACCTGTTGTCCTGCTGTCACAAACACTATCACCACGACAGTAGTTTAAAGCTGCCTGGCTGGCTCTAGGAAATATTTGTCAAGTGATTTTTTTCCTTTCCTATCTGTTGCTGTAAATGAGGAATTTAAAACTTCCAAGAATGTCCCATCTTGTCACTAAGAGCTTCATGTGCTAAGAGTTTTGAGATCTCAGAAAAGCTTTCTGGAGATTCGCTTTTAGGCTGGTTGTCAAACCTCAGAATATTATATATTATATATTAAAAAATGTCAAATCAACCTATGACAACGGACTTGGACAGAGTACATTTTCTAAGACTCACATACTGACCTTCTGTTCTCAACCTTATGGCCTGCTCCTTTTTCCCTAGAAAGGTTGTTACAGAACTCAATCTATTTTGATAAGCGTTGTCTCATATTAGTATTTCCTACAATGCAAGCTATCATGTAGAGGATATTGTCCAGCCGTGTCAATGACTATATTACATCCTGCAGGATTCACAGGGCCAGGTTTCCCTATGTACCTCAGTCTCTTGTGACTGCTCAGTTTTGTGCTTGGTGTTGTGTTGCTTGTGTGTTATCTCCATGTTGTACGACATGGCCCCACATCGGTAATGGAAAATCCACTAATAAAACAGCGATGGGAGATGTTGTTTGTGGCGTCAGTCATAAAGCAATGTAATACAAGCCTCCTCTGACCCTTGGAGAGAAGAAATTGATTTTCACTGAATCCCAGAGATGTCGGAGAGGGAGAGAGAGGGGAAGAAGCTAGAGAGGGAGACGGGTTGATAGCCTCTCGGCAGAGCAACCGTCCGTCACAGACTGATGCTGTGTGTCACAGCTCCACATTAACACTTAGTTTTCTAACTGGGGGACGGAGCCTTTCACCAACAATCAAACACTTCACGTTCCTTTCGGAGCCTTTTGGCTTGTGATTGCTGCTTCTCTGCTGCCGTCTAGGGCCAAAACAGAAAAAAAAAAAGTTGATAAGATTTTTTTGGGGGGTAGTGAGAGAGAGGGGGAAGGAGCAAAGAGAAATGTAATTTACTGCTCCAAGCGCCCACAAGATTCAATTGCAAGTGAGCCCCTCAAACACTTGCCTGATTCAATTTGTTGCTGTCTTCACAGTTATCAAATGTGACTGCGCTCCGTGTCTACTGTCTCACACACATTCTCCAGGGGTGAAGGGGGCCCACTGCATTCTCCTAGTCAGGCAGAAAGCACTCCCTGCAAAATGATACACAGCCCCCACACTGCATCACAGCCAACAGCAAACACTCAGCTGTACAAGAGAAGGGGGATTAAAGAGCATTGCGTTTTAGTAACCCTCTGCAAAGCCGGAGAAGGCAGTTAAAAATGCATTGAAGTTGTATGGTGTCCTCTCATATTCAGGTTTTATTTTCATTTTTTGATTTTCCTTTTAAAAAAAGGTCCAGAGCTTATTGGGGTTTCTGAGGCAGTTAGCAGCCTAAAAGTTATGTGATTCCCCCACTCAATGGGACACAGATCTATTGCACTGTTCCTCCTTTATGAGACAGGGTGCAATTAGTTACTTGGGGTAAAGTACTGTACTCATAACCTTCGTTAAGAGCTCGGATCCCTGGTTACTACACTGCCCTTATGTGTTTTACAGAATAAATGTCCAAAGTCGTGTTACAAATGTGCTTTGAAAGGGCCTCTAGAGTTACTCATGAAGTGAAGGCGCTCACTCCTTGAGAGCTCTGCTCTCAAGCCTGGGTCCCGTTACTAGCTGACTGTGACTAGGGTTCCCCAAGAGACAGCACCCTTGTGGCTCAGTGTCACCAGGGGTGGGGTTCAGACTAGTCAGCTAGGGTGAAAAAGGATTTGGTGAAACAGTGATTCCTGTTTAAGACTCCGTGTACCTTGCCGCATGCCAAATGTAATGGCTGTGATGGACAGGCGAGTCAGAGGAGTGTGTTTGCCCCTCCTCATTCTTCTTGTGCAGTACTGGAGTCCAAGCAATGCTGCGAGATAAAAACCATTCCAAACTGAGCGGCTGTAAAATGCAGTAATGCAAAATAAAACCAATTGTGATCTGAGGTTAAATACAGTTTTGCTTCTTATGCTGTTCATATTACGCTTCCAACAGAGCTGTGATGTATCTGTTTCTGTTAATAAGACTGCGATCTGAGAGGTACATAAGAGTGGTGCTGTGTCTCCTCCAAAAAGGAAACGCAGTGTCTTTAATAAAAGCTTTTTCAAAGATCAAGAAATTAGGCCGTTTTATCCATTCTACCGGTTTGATAGTTCATAGCAAATCAATCCCTAAATGTTTCTTAAAGTTTCTCAAATATCTTCTGTTTTGTTGCAGAGATCTAACACTGTGTAAACAAATGCCACCTGTTTCAGTACAAAACACACTCTCCTATGACTCTTAATTCCTCACCTCGCAGTCCCTTGAATTGACTTTGCCAGTACCTTTGAGGATTTTGAAACGTTGAATGAAATCCCCTTGCAGTCTCCTCTGTTCAAGGCTAATCAGGTTGTCTGCATGGACTTGTGAATTGTGAGCTCTTCCCAGTGCTGTAGTGACATTTGTTGACTAAATTAAGCTTTTAAGAGGCATTTTATGCAGATCTCCTCCCCTTGTGTATGTATCTGCAATAATATACAGTACATCCAACTAACGCTTAGAATTAACTTCATTTTAAAGTATCTTAGTCCAGATCGCATAGCAGAAGTGTTTAAGACAGCTGGGTTCTTATGAGAGGTCCTGACTTGCTTTAACTGGAGTAATAGTAATAATACTTTTTTATTTAATAATGCATTTGTTGAATAACACTAGGTTTTTTTAAAGGGCACATTTTTAATTTGTTTAATTCACTTCCTTGTGAAAAGGCATCTCTCCTTGACCACTGATTAAGATGCTAGTTGCTGGCTATGTTTCATTTGGTGTGTCTTAGAGGAGGTAGATAAAGAGGTTAATTGGGGTTTTGAAGTAAAGACACTGTGTAATGTGATTTATTTCTCGGAAGCTCAGGTTTGTCTCCAAGTTTTATTTTCTGTAATTCTGGGAAATTAAAACAAATGGTGGAGGGAATGGCTGTAATCGTTCCCTTCTGTCAGAGAGGGTTTCATCTGGGAGGCTGACTGTCTGCAGACCCCGGGCCAGGGGAAGTACTCTCCTTTTCAGATTAAATTAATAGATTTAGCACATGCATCTTGATTCCAGTTTGGAAGGTCTAATTCAAGGTGCTTTGGTTTGTTATGCACGAGGGAAGACTGCTGATGGGTTGGGGTACTCTCACCATAGTGTTCAACCTCATTCTTTTTTCTGGGGACCTTCTGAAATTTGAGGTGGGTGAATGGTGTAACACTGCACCCAGCCCTCCAGACCAGCATTTCTGTCCAGTCGTGCCACTGAGGTCTGCCTTATCGACCTATTTGTGCGTGTTCAGACTCACAGTACAGGGCACAGCATGAAGCATGCACTGAAATTAAATTTCATTTGGGCTTTTATTTCTCTCCTCCTCTCCCGCCTTCAGAGGACGTGCACAATCACTTCAGCAAGTATGAGGTGGAGTACCTGCAGTTCGCCTTCCGCTGGATGAACAACCTGCTGATGAGGGAGTTGCCTCTGCGCTGCACTATCCGCCTGTGGGATACCTACCAGGTGAGCAAAGAAGGGGGCGTGGTCTTCCCAGCACTTCCACCACTGGGCCACAAAGCCCCTTTCTGGGGTCCCCTTCCATTTGCTGAGGCTGGTGAGGTCCCTTTTGCTTCAGGAACGGCTAAATTCACAGATCTGTTTCACTCAGAGAAAGAAGGAAAAGATTAATATCAAACAGTATTCAACTCAATTGGTCAATTAACTAATGAATTTTATATTAATGAAATAATTATTCATTTAAAGGTTCTGGACTGTTTATTTACCAATTAAAAATAAATGTATTTGCAGATCTTATTTAATTTCTCTAGTAGTATGGAAATCTGGATGCCTGTTGGTTAATAGTGATATTTCACCTTGATATTGTCTTTGGTGCTGACAGGTTGCTGGATTTCATACGATCACGGTAAACCCATGATGCATGTAACAAATTAGCACATGTTGCCTCTATAGTGCGTCCAATGTGTGTGTTCAGCTCACGTTGTGTTTTTTCCACACCTGGTGATCTGCACTAGTTACATCTCTGAAGTGTATTAAGATGTGCTACCTGTTGTGTAAATAACACAAGTTCTTCAGCATTCAGAAATTTGCCATTTCTTTGTTTCTTGTCAGCGCTGCAGCATGGATACTGATAAAACTATCTGAAATATTTTAATTCCATTAATTAATGTCATGCATTTTGTATAGTGCTCATGCTGCGCACCATTAGAAGACAAGATAGTATTCTGTTCAACATATTTTTTGTGATGATGTTGTACAAAGCACTGCTACCATCCTAGAGCTCTTGATACTATCCCACATCATCTTTGAACTGATTCTTAAATTAAACTTTTTATTGAGAACACAGAAAGGAATCGATACCTCATCTGACCCCTTCTCATTGTTTACTCTGCCGGTCAGCTAGTAGTTCTGTAATGAAAAGTAGAATCATTCCTACCATTTTCTATCCTCTTTATTCATTTAATTCACGAGGGAGCTGGAGCCTATCCCAGCATTCAGTGGGCACAAGGCAGGATACATCCTGGATAGGACGCTAGTCCATTTCAGGGTAGACACAGACCCACACACACTTACACCATGGGAATTGGGAATTACACCAAATTTCCTAGAACCCAATTAACCCACAAATATGTCGTTGGACTGTGGGAGGGAACCGAAGCAAGACACAAACTCCATGCAGATAGCACCTCAGGATTTGAACACAGGGCCCCAGTGCTGTGAGGCAGCCACCACACCGCTGTGCTAATAGTATCATGAAATATTTATATTCTGTTGCATAGTATATGCAGTGTGACTATTTGATGATGTAAGGTCCATTAAATGTGTATAGAAGCTTACAAATAGATGTGAAACCAGGATACAGAGCCTTGCACTGTGCTGAGCTGTATATAGTATGCAGTATAGACTGCAGCTTTGACTACACTGGACTCATAAAAGTGGCAGCAGACAGACATCAGATGCCTGGATAAAAACTGCAAAAACGCTTGTAATGTAAATTACCCATGGTGTATGCAAGAGAATTCCCCTATTAGAGATTCGTTGAGCTGTTCTTATTTATCATTTCTACAGTACTTCTACAAACAAAAAAACAGAGTGGGAGTTTGTGACTGGCTCATTTTGTTTGAGTTTCCTCCATATTTTGTGATGGTGATTCAGGCATTTTTGGATCACTTACATAAAGCAGAGAGAGGAAAAGGCGCTGTCTTGAAGACTAGTTTGAAGTGCCAGCTCTTCTCGCCCGTGTGGTGCTTGTGATGTGTGATTCTTTTGTTTCGGAGTTCTTCTTAAGTGCAGTCACTCTGCGGTATCTCAGTGGAAGATTATTTATTGTTGATGTCTTTTTCAGGAAATCAACAGAAAGGCAGATGAGCTGCAGTGTAGCACTGTTTTGAGAAAGGTGAGGGGGAAATGAGAGGAAAGCAAACAGAGATAAGACTTAAGTACATTAAAGATGGAAAACGGAGGGAAGGAATTAGTGATAAAATGAGGTGATCAGGCAAACCATATCAGCAGGACGGCCTCATTCATTACATACAGCACGAGTAAATTTGATCACGAAAATCGCAGAGCAAACAAGAAGCACTGTGAAGGAGAAATAAGATGTTAATGAGGACATTAATCTCTGCAAAATGTGATTTCTGAAATTCAGCACCTGGAAATTGCTCAGAAATCTGACAGCATGGTGGATCACTGTTGTTTAGGGAATACAAATATTAAAAGGAAAGATATGAATGTACAGAACAAACTTTAGTATCTTTGACGGGGCTAATCACCCATCGGTTCAAACCACAAAGTCCATGACAGCAGAGGGCCTAAGGGAAAGACAGTTAGCCACTTGATCCATATCAGGTTTTATAAGCAGCAGGTTCATGGACTGATAGAACAGAAAAGTTAAGATAGGGATTCCCAGTCCTGGTCTTTGAGACTCTCATGCCTGCTAGGTTCTGTTCCACCTGAGGACTCAATTAAAATAACAGAGCTCTCATTAATAATAATAATGTATTTGAGCACTTCCATTTTTTCAGTTCCAAAGCATGATTTGTTTGGTATTCAGTGTATTAATGATCCAAGAATTTAGTTAATCCATTTCTCAATCCGCACTCAACTTCACAACACTACAGAAGATACAGTAGATAGTTCCTGACTCCCACGGTCGTCTGTGTGAAGACATGTTTTCTGCTCTCGGCCTTGAATGTTCCTGAATTGTATTTCCTCTTCTGCTCTTTGGGTTTTTGTGATGCTGCTGAACTTGAAAAACTCTCCCAAATTGACATGTTCAACGCCTTTCAGAATAGTTGAATCAAGTCCTCATCCTCTGTTCTGTCCTGCCTAATAAAGATTCAGTCCATGTAGTCTGTAGGAATATGACTTTCCCTTCAGACCAGAAAATAATTTTGTTACTTTTCTTTTCCCTGCGTCTAGAGCAGCGATATCTTTCTTGTCATATTATTTTAATTCCACTTGAGTCTATCTGAGAAAGAAGCTGTTGTTACCTTATACACATGAGCTTGGCGCTCATTAGGCTGAGATGGGAGTCCAATTTACATCCTTGCAGTGCCACCATTTTAAAGATTGGTTGTTATTTTAATGATGTATCTAGGAGAGTCTGAGATGACTGCTTTTTTTCTGTCATTCTTCTTATATTTTATGTCTTGAGCTCCCCACAATAAAAGTGTGGTTTACAACATTTTCTCTTGATCGCTGTGTAAATGGTATTGGAGTGCTCAGGCATGCTCTGCTGGAGTGAAACTGGTAATGACAGATCTGTAATGCTCTTTTTGCCTGCTGATTTATTTTGCATTTTCTCAGCGTTGCTCTCTGAAGCATTTCAGGGGCCTTATGCTTTCACCCAAGTTTTGAGACTGACGTGGGATCAGCTTGTTTGAAATTCACATGGTTTGGGTTTTGCAGTGGGTACGGGGAGCTGTCTTGATACCATTGATTAATATTATTATTTTTATTTATTATTATTATTATTATTATTATTATTCTTATTATTATTATTGCATCACAAGTGGAGATATCCAAAGGTTGCAGTAGAGAAAAACGTGGTGTTAGGCTTGTTTGGGTTAAAATCAACCATTTTTAAAAAAAGGTTTTTGCTGCAGAGCTAATATTGTTGTCATTTTGAAATGCATTCTCAAAAGAATGATTGATTATTCCTATAGATATGTAGTTTATTTTTTCCCTGTCAACTTTGACCCAGGTTTGCAAAGGTAATATGTGTAAAATTAGTTTTGGATATTTTAACGCAGTTGTCCAATTTGAGATAATCTGTATTTAATTATTACACCTTTCCTGTCACATCATCTATAGTTAAGTCTTTCTTAATTATAAACAGTCTACAGTCTTTCCAGCCTTTAAATCTTGATGGATTTTACAGTTTCTTACTTGCAGATTTTAAGTTTTATTTCTCAGCTTGCTCATAAAACCTTAACTAGCTTTGCAAAGTCAGGCCATTTGTTTCTAGATTTCTTCGTGTGAGATTCTAAAATTACACAAAATCAAGATCAAAGTTTGCTTTACAGCACAACCCTTTGACAATCTTCGAATTACGATTTGTTTTTGTTTTTGTTTTTGTTTTTGCAGTTTAAGAGTTTTAATGTTTCTGTTTTTTCCTGGTCTCCATTGTTGTCCATAAATGTGGTCTTGGAAACATTTGTGACAATTTTAAGGCTCTGATCTGGCAGACTGGGGGCTAAGGCCAGAGGATGGGGGAATTTGCCCGTAACTCATTTTCATTCTGGTAATCTGGTGTCATATTCCCCCAGTGGTGCAGAGTTCACGCCTCTCCCTGTCTAATCTTCTGCTGCAGGCAGGCGTGAAGCAGAGGTAGTGCTGCAGGACCTACTTAATGACATTAAGCAATTCCTGTTAGGCGCTGCAATAGGCGAACCTGTGTGTAATCCGTTCAGCAGACAGGCGCGGGCAGCTGCTCTACAGTCTAATCACAGCAAGATCACTGCAGAGCTGGAACACATCCTGCGGACCTTGAATGGAAATTTTGGATGTGCTTTTAAGAGCTGTGAATGTTCTGATGTTCTGGTTTTTGCTGTCCTGGCTAGTTGTGGCTGTGGTGTGGGGAGTGTTATTGCGAGAGGCCTCTTTCTTCCTGCCAAGGAGGGTGGGGGCAGTATTTCTATACTCAGCTGTGTTGGGATGTGCCAGTGAGCAGAGCTGCCATATTCCAAAAAGCGGCAAGACTAAGGAGCTGTCCTGTCTTTTCTGACAATGGCACCACATGCACACTGCGATGGGGAAAGTGCCTTCAGTCTGTCATGCAGACAGGTTTGTATTCAGCTGCAGGCTGCTTGCTGTGCACACTTAAGCTTAATGCCTCTCCCCAGGTTCCCACTCAATAAAAATCTCCCACTCTCTCCAGCAGAGAGGGAGCTGACAGCTTGGAGAATACTGGATACGGTTCTTTATAACAGTATTGTAGGGTTTGTACTCTGCTACAGTAGAAAGTACAAGCCGGTTATTAGGTTTAAGTACTTCAAGATAACAAAATGAATTTAATAAATCCTCCTTAGAGTTAGATCACAGCAAGTCTCTAGCTTTTCCAGTGGTATACAGTATATATTTGATGTTTTATTTAATAAGTGCCAGTCCTTGCAGTTTAAGTTTATAACATCTGTACAAACATGGCCAGTATATTAGTAAGCACTGTGTGATCTTCCTTCCAGAGCACTGTAATTTCTCCCTGACCTGGCTCTTGCAATATAATTTAACATTTTAGTACTTTTTTGTGATTTCTTGTGATAATGGCTGAATTTTGAAACACATTGAGCCTTTATCTGCAGCTTACTAACTTTATCACACTTTTTACTACAGTATTTTATTCAAAATGTGATTACCTTGTACTTTGCACCTGCTATACAGTATTGTACTCCGACTTTCTAAAGAGATGGGGTTTACAGTGAAAAGCATTAAATTGAACTTTTTATTAACTAAACAAATTACAGTATACTATAACACCATGCAATTCAATAACAATAAAACCATTACAATACTAACCATTACAACAATGCTGAATACAGCACTACACAGATTTTCTTGTATTTTGTCTCTTGAGTTCATGTTCACCACTGTGCAATATGAGACTTGCACAGCCCTCACCTCCTTCATGTACTGACCCATAATTAGGCCAAATGCTACAAGGAGTATCTACTGTAGATGTAGTCATGAGGATAACATTGTTGACAGGTTTCTCTTCCACCTCTGTTCCTTATAACCTAGTTGAAGTAATTATTAGCTTAACTGAATCACGTTAACACTTTGCAAAGGTCTTCAGTTAAGATATTTAGACTTAAAGAGAATTAGAAAATCAGCTGGGTTGTGACTCTCTCTCTGCATGGAGTCTGTATGGAGTTGGGCACCTTTGGTTTAGTATAACCTGAGCTGGATATCCTTATTGTAGTCAGCAGTGCAGTGTTTCTTTGACTTGTTGACAGCTCATTGACAAACTGAGTCAATTTTGCAACAGCCAGGACATGAACATGTGTGATTTCAGGTGAATGATCTGCACGGTCTGTCAATCCCTGTCCGAGTGGCTCACAGGAGGCTGGGCTGAGAGCATTCCTCTCACTCCACATAGTGCCAGAGCTGTTCTTAAAGGAAGAAACACGGAAACCCCTACACTGCTAATGAAATTCTGCTAGGTAATGTAGGTATACACAAAGGTTTTGTTCCTGTAGTGTGATCAATAATTGGGCTGCATGGTGGCACAGTGGCTAACATTGCTGCCTTGCAGTGCTGGGAGCCTGCATTCAATTCTAGACCTGGAGTGCTACCTGCATGGAGTCTGTATGATCTCCCTGTGTGCACGTGGGTTTTCTCCAGCTACTCCACTTTCCTCTCCAAAAACATGCTGGAAGGTTAATTGGCTTCTGGGAAAATTGGATCCAGGTGTATGTGTGTACATGTCTGTGTTTGTGTCTGTCTATTCTGTGTAAACAATTAGTTGAAACTGACTCAAAACCATAATATCACCATCATCATTATAAAAAGCAACTTTATTTTATATAGTGCCTTTAAAAGTATCTTCTCAAATACTTAACAGGAAAAGTGCAAAACACTGTTTAGAAGAACAGTAACAAAGATATGAGATAACAGCATTATCACAAAGGGATTAGAAATGTAGGAGAAGATGCAAGGAACAATGAACAATCAGAGACACCAATTACACAAAAGCCTTTCTGAGGGAAAGGTTTTGAGATTGGATTTGAATGCACTCAGGATAGTTGACTCCCTGATATCTTTGGAGACAGAATTCCCAGGCTTTTGGGTATAGCAAGAGAAGGCCCTTTCACTCATAGAAAGTAAAAGCACCCCCAAACATTGCCATCTTTTCAGCTCTGTCACACCCAACTGATCATGAACATTACCCTGAAAAGG